CATGGCTGGCTCCATGTAACCTTTCAAGTCTCAGTTCAATGTCAGACCCTGAAAAGCCTTCCAGACCCTCAGTGTAGGACAGCGTCCATGATGTCCTATTCCCTCACCCAGCTGAAGACCAGCCTCAAGATGACCTTCGAGCACCTGCATCGCTGGAGCTACACTATTTGCTTACCTGCACATGTCTGTCCTGTCCTGTGGGGAGCCAGAGCAACATTTTCAAATATGGTCTGGAAGAACATGGCTGAGTTCAAACCCAGCTCTTCCCTTTCCAGCCCTATGACCTCAGGCAGAAGGCTTAACCTGCTGCAGGGATGATGTGTTAGATGAATGACACCTGGAGTGCATGGTGCCCACACAATAGTGCTGAGTTATTGCTCCAGGATATAAATTCCCAAAACAAGGGCTACTGCCTGCCACATCACCACTGTGTCCCCGCTCTTCAGATCATGCCACGTACAGAGAGGGCAGCTGTGAAAGGAACACAGGGGTCATGACAGAGAAACTGCCTGCCCTCCTGTGAGAGCACTGAAGGTAAACTGAGGACCCTTCTAGGCCTGGTGCACAAGGTTTAATCCTTATCCTGACCTCTGCTGCTTCTTCTAGAGGGTTCTCTAGGTGGTTCTAACTTTCCCAGAGTCCCATTTGTCCCCTCCAGCCTGAGCAGCCTTCATGTCGGCCAGCACCTATAGTAGGGCCCAGCACTCAGTTCTCTGCTCTACCAGCTACCTGGGCCCAGGGACAGAAATGCACAAATGCTTTGAAAACTATCAAGAGAAACCCAGAGGGGTTAGGGATGTAGCTCAGTGGTAAAGCACCTGCTTAGCAAGTGCAAGGCCCTGGGGTCAACAGCAACACAAGAAGTGAGAGTCACCTTCTCAGGAATAAACTATGCTCCTAGATTTTCCAGAATCCATAATCAAGATTTAAAAAACCCACAATAGCCATATTAGCCAGAAAGCCTACTTCTAGATACACAAACATTGAAAATAGATAAGTGCACATCCAATTCCCAGCAGCATTAGTTACAAGAGCCAGAAAATGGAAACCACCCAAGTGTCTACGAGTGGATGAATGGGTAAGCAAAATATGGGGTATATACAACAGAAAGTGATTCTGCCACATGCTACAACATGGATATGACCTTAAGGACAGGACATTAAGTAAAACAGGACAGAATAAAACACAACTATTATGTGGTTCCGTGTAGGTGAGGCACTTTGAGTCAGGGAATGGTGGATGCCAAGGGTTGGGGAGGGGAAGCATGGGGCAGAGTTGCACATGTACACGACAGAAGGTCACAGAGATGGAAGGTAATAATGGCTGCACAACACGAATGTACTCAATGCTTCCAGATTGTACACTTCAACATAGCTAAGGGGGGTACACTTCATGTTATATGTATTTTACCACGCTAAAAAAAATAGGGCGGGAAGCCCACAAGAGTAGGTAGGGTGTGTTGTGTCTGGCTCCCCACTGATCATTGTCCCTATCCTTTCTATAATGCAAATGAGGCTTGAGCACTTTCCATCTCACAGATGAGGAAACTGAAGTTAGTGGGAGCTGAAACAACATAGTCCAGGGCAAGAACCAACAGAGAGGAGCTGAGGCTTGCAGCCCAGTTTCTGGCTTTCAGAATCACAATCACAACACAGCTGCAGGAAGACACACCCACAGAGTTGACCAGCTGCCTCCCTGGGGAGGCACAGCAAGCAGACACTTCAGTCACAGAGAAAGTAGGTTACATGGCTCCTGTCAGACAGAAGCTGACATGGCCCAGTCTGGCCCTGAGTGATCAGACGCCCCTGGGGCTGCTCATTTAGAGCTGTGCTCAGCCCACAGAACCAATCCAATAACCAGGGCCTTGGGGGCCAGTGGCTGCAATTTTATAGATCCCTTGTCCTAGGACACCAGTGTGAAAAATGTTTAGAAGGGAGATCAGATGTCCCAATCTTAGCTGCCCCTTAGTCCTCAGCAGGATAGTGCAGGGCTGAACCCCTGAAAACAAACCATCTACCTCTCAACCTCCAGTGTACCTGCATATACCGTGTGTCCCAGGGAGGAAGATGGTCAGAAACAAACTGGCTGGCAGGGGAGAAGCAAGACCCCAGTACACAAAAGCACAGTGAGATATGAATATGTGCTTTCTTCCCACTCAGCAGACCTAGCTGTGACTCCCAGTCCCTCTACTCCAGCCTCAGTTTCCCATCACTGCCTCCCATGTTACTATTGAGGTATAAAATGAGACACTGGTGGAAAGCCCTTGGCACAGAGTCTGGATCATGGGGAACAGCATCTGCCTGGGCAGCACAGGCAGCTCTGGGGCTGGGAGAAGGAAGGCCCAGAGTCTGGTGCCACCTCCCCCAGTCACTCCTGGGCAGTCACAGATAATTCATTTCCCAGCATAAGTTTGAAAATGGAACTAGAGGCCACTACGAGATCCTGCACTGCTTGAAGACCAAGATCTGTGTTCTAGATCTTGCTGGGTACAACCAATGAAATAATGACCCAGGTCCTTGAAAGAGAACAGAGTTGGTGGACTGGGTCACAGTGAGCTTAAAAGCCAAACCCAGTTGGAAACTGGTGGTAGGGATGGGCTGAAAAACTGGGCCTACACTGCTCAGTCCCTCCCCAGCTCTGATGGGCTGAGGCTCCATGGAGGCTACCCTGCTGAGTGGTGGGGGAGGGCAGTTCTCCTGACACTCCCACCCTGTGACCCCAGGGAGAAGGTGTGCCTAGTAGCATGTTTCTGGTCTGACCACATGTTCTCTTGTTCTCTGTGTGGAAAAAGTAGCTGGAGGATCAGGGTCACGGCCACCAGAGTTTAAAGGCCACTTCTGCCCACCCGTGCCTGCACCCTGTGTTCTTGCAGATCTTGGCCTTTGCTTTTGAGTTTGGGCACTGCTGTGAATCCCACTGACAGATGCCTGAGTCATCACTGGTGAAAGGTGGGGATGGTGCCGGGGGTCTTACAGCTGGGGGGAGAAAGCTTCCTCATGGCCTGAGGATGAATCCCAGCTCCACACATCACGTGACCTAGAGTGTGCTCACCTGTCAGAAGATACAGAACCTCTATCCTGGCTCTTGTGAAGATAAAATGAGTGCTTTACATTCAATTAAACTAAATACAGCATGCTTCTTGCAGTGCCCTGGCACATGGTAAGTGCTCAAAAGTATTAACTATTACTATTATGCTGATTTCAGATGAAGGATAACCAGGCTTAGAAAAGTGAAGTAACTTGTAGCTAGAACTAAATCTGTCTTAGGCTGACTCAAGCAGAAACAAAAAAACAAAAAAGAAAGATGATTTTTTTTTTTTCAGGATGGTATTAGGTCTCAGCCATGGCCTGACTTTGGACAAGTTTCACTATCTGTGTGGCTCAGTTTTTTCATTCATAAAATTTGGAGACACCAACCTTCCTGGGAATTCATCAACTGCAGCCAGAGGTTGGGGCAATCAGGACACCCTGAACACGGGCCATGAGTCCAGGAAACTTCCCTGGGGATAGAGGGGTATATCTAAACTGGGCTGCTCCTAATCCAAGTCTCCATCTCCAAATCGATGAGGTAGAAACTACCCGTAGCCCCCTGTGGTGTCCCTGGCAGCGTGGAAGGGCACAGGCTGACAGGCCTCGCTGATGGAGAAGGCACATTGAGCACCAGCTCCTGTCATTGCCCCTCAAGGGAAGCAAGCACCCATCTGCACTGAACAGTATGCAGCTGGTGGCCATCCCTGGGTTCAGGGTCCCACTCGTGGCCCACAGGGACAAAGGAGGATGTAAAAGCATGCTTTTATGGTCAAATCCCACAGGCATCGTGCCAGCTGTGTGATCATGGCCAGGCACACCCAACCCCTTTGAACCTCAGCTTTGTCTGCTTTAAGAAAAGAGGCAAGAAGCCCTATTTTCCAGAGCTGTTGGGATGCAGTGGGTGTCCCTGGAGTGGTAAGGCACTACAGCTCTTCTGGGAGTCCAAGGCCTGCTACACGAAGTATTTTCATGGCCGGCACTGCAGCGGGGTGAGGTGTCCTCACCTGAGAGCAAATGGCCAGGCAAAAGCTGAGACATTGGGCTTATGCCAGCAATTCCACAACGCTCTAGATGTCAGAGTGTTTACAGCCAGGTTGAAGCTCAAATACATGAAGGCCACACTCCTTGAGACAGGTGAGCCTGGCTTCCAGTGACCTGGTGCTAAACAATGCCTCCAAGCTTTGTCCTCTGTTTTCCTCTCTCTTCCGAAGACTATGCAAAATTCCAGTCTCTAGGTGAAAGAAAGAAACCAGAGACTCTCCAGAGGAAGTGCAGTGGCCCCCAGGGAGGAGTGGGACAGAGGATGGAGACCCAGAGTTGGGAATGAGCCTGAAGCCAGATGCCTCTGGGAGAGCAGGTGGAGGTTCAGTGAGCACATCTCAGCCTGCCTATGACTGTCCTGTGTGGTCACCTCCTCTTCCAGGAGACATCATCTCTGGATGTGCTCAGGCTTTTGCCCCCACCCTAGTCCCCATGACTCAGTACAGCACAGGCCCACCCAGCCTCAGGGATAATGAGTTCTGGACTGATAGGTACTGAGGGTCTGACCTGCCCTGGCTTAGAGAGTCCAGTTCACTCTCTCCAGACCTGATTACTGCACAAAAAGCTCTAGAAGTGCCCCTGACCAGCCCTCCTGCAACCCCTCATTGGGATGGGCATGCTAGAAAATTCCAGAGCTATGAGCAGAAAGCCTTCCCACTGCATGGTCCCAGACCCCCCAAAGTCCCATCTAACTCAACAGGCTGGGGGATTGTGTCTGTCTTCTCCTGGGAAGGGAACAGCTTCTGCCTCCCTGGTGGGACTCAGACCGGCTTCTCCCCGGAGGAGCAGATGAGGGTGGGTAGTTGAGCCCACTTCCTTGTCTTCTCTAGCTGTCTGTATCTGAACAGTAATCTACTCGAAAACAACAGAAATAAGGGAAGAGAGCAAACAGGGAAAGCCAATGGGAAAGAGGCCATGTCCTCTACTTGCCTGAACATCGAACTCTTGCAGGAGCCCAGTGATAGTCTGTGGAAAGACAAGAGACAAGAACAATGGTCAGTTTCCTCAGAGAAAGACTGTTGGAACACATGCATCCCTCCAGACCATGAATCTCTATTTGTCCTCCTTCCTCTTACGGCCTCGCTTATTTCTTAACAAGAGAGAGTTTCCTTTTCATCCTAGAGAACAGCAGTCCAGCAGAAAAGCAGACCTATTAGCTGGAGGCCTCTTTGACAAAAGCCTTGATGAAAAAAGATCTCAAGGTTGAAACCGATAAGCACTGAGGATGGCTAGTAACTGCTCTTCTTGTCTACACTTTTAAAACTCAAGCCTTCCTTAAGTTCTGACCTTCACTGCCATTGTCTGGATTCTGGATTAAAATCCAACTCTTCCTGAGTTGGCAGAGGAGAATGGAAACTTCTCAATCTAAAAATTGTGAATTTCAACCCAAATTCCATCTTTCACCAAAGCTATCAATAGCAAGAAAGTCCTTATCCCTGCTGGAATTGTAAAATGGGGCTCAGAGGGCCTGGAGCCTCACTTGGCCAATGTTTCCAAGAAATGCTGCCAGTGTGTCTTCCACTGACCCAGAGATGGAATCCAAACACTCTATAGACCAAGCCCAGCCAGGCTGGCTATTGACCTCCTGGGACTGAGGTGGCTCAGTTCAGCCAAATGCACAAGAGATGAGGGAAACAAACCAGCAGGGCCCCGTTGGGGTTTGGAAAATCCAAAACCTGATTATAACAGACACCCTACTGCTGGGATGTAAACAGTTTCACATGCCTTGGGCTGTGGCTAAGCACACGAGGGAATTGCTAAATTCAAGTAGAAGGAAAGGTGGTTGACATTCAGGCTCTCTCTCTCCCTCTTTCTCTCTCTCTCTCTCTCTCTCTCTCTCTCTCTGTGTGTGTGTGTGTGTGTGTGTGTGTGTGTGTGTGTTGGTAGGAAGGAATGGGGAAAGCCATTCTGTAGCACTCCAACCTTTGTCAACAGGAGGACAGTGACAGTTGCATCTGCACACATAAGAAATGACATACATGCAAGGTGCATCGAAGTTATAAATATTCTGCATCATTGCTTGTGATGGCAAAATACTGAAAAGATCCTGGATCCACTGACCAAAAAAGTTGGTGGAATACTGTGCTGCTGGGAAGATAAATGCAAATTCTCTATGGAGCGAGTAAAAGTGAGCAAAACAGGGTGTGGCATACTATTATCTTATGTTTAGCGTAGTGATAAGGATATACTGATATGCATTTTTACTACTTAGGAGTTTTTTGTTGGTGGTGGTGGTAGCTTTTAAAGACTGTCAAAGAACTCAAGTGAAGATTTAGAAACAAATTTAGGGCATGCATCCTGTGCAGCAGGGCTGGCAGACAACAGGCCACCTCCTGTTTTGTAAATCAAGTTTTATTGGGACACAACACACTGTGTCTTTTACCTACTGTCCATGGCTGCTGTCGTGCTATAGTGGCGATGCTGGGTCCAGTCAACTGTCTTTACCTGAGATGGATTGTTTCCAGAAATTCCTTCTACCCTGTGGATACTATAATCCACATTTATGTGAATGGTGTACTATTTGCATAAAGCCTACATGTATCCAGAAATTATGTGCAGTCTGTTTCCCAAAGGCAGCCAGCCTAGGTTGGATTCCATGCATCACACTTTGTCATTATGTCACCAAGGACAAATGGACTCCATTACCCACCACCCTTCTGTACAGTGAGGACAATCACAGAACCTTTCATGGACCCAACCACAACTGAAATATGGTTAGCCAGAAATAGGCTAACTGTAGCCTAGAGGCCTGCAGGACATGGTCAGTGCACATTACCAATGATTTGGAAAAACATGTGGGTGGCCTGGGAGAAACTTCACCAGAAGGCCTGAACATCCACATTTTTAAAAGAGGTGTTATCACAGGAAGTTCTGAGGCTCTGAGAAGCCAGGTATGAACATGCTTCTAAAAGTCCAGTGTCAGCTGTACAGCCAGTAAGGTGTATCCATCATGGAACACTCAGTCCGGGACGGACCAGGCTGTCCCAGGGTCAGGCTCAGGGGCTCTTGTTCACGGCTGGAGGGCCTCTTCTCACAGAAGAGGCATAGCCAAAAAGATGCCAACAGCAAACACAGTGCCAACACGTATTGCTCTCTTCCATGCAAAGTTCTCCTCTGCCTCTGAAGTAGCTCCCTCCCTCATCATCCAGCCCTTTGCAGTGAGTGCTAGTGCCTCCATTTTTTACAGATGAGGACTAGAGTGAGAGCATAAAGCAGTCAGTGTGAACATAAAACTGCAAAGTGGTCAGGTGGTGTGACCCCAGAGTCTAAGCTGGACTCCATGTTGCATTGTTCTGTAGCCACAGGATGTCAGACACGGGGGCTATTCAGAGAAACCTGGCTCAATGCCCTTACTTTACAAATCAGAAAAGTGGGGTGGGGGGAGAGGCCATTAAGTGCTGGAGCACTTAATGGTCAAGCTGGACCTGAATCCATGCCAGGATCTACGTGTACGAATACACGCTGTGTGTAAGTGTGTATTGTATGTGTGTGGTGTTTGTTCAATGGGTACACGTGAACATGTGCAGGTATGCCTGCACACTCTTGAGTATGCATGCTGGTCAGCCACACATGCATCTACATGCCTGCTACAGGGTAGCCAGGAACATATCCACTCACCTCTCCTTTCTCCACCAAAGGCTTCACCTCAGCAAGATCCACGTCCTGTAGCTCACGAGACATGTCTGCTGCCACCTGCCTGTAAGGGGAAAGAGGCCAGGTCAGCACTTCCTGCTGAGACACATTTCCTGAAGGAAGCAGGGAAGGAGACAGGCACAAAGGTCAGCTTCAGGGAGTTCCTCCATGGCTGGGCAGTAGACCTCCTGGGAGAGGAAACTGGCTCACAGACACAGTTACCTTTCCAATAAAGTAGGTGGGTTGGAACACAAAAATAGGCAACACAGCATATCAAGTGCAGGCTCACCCGCCATACACAGAATGCTTCTTGCTAAATTTTAGAGGGAGCAGCCCCACCCCATTCCTGCCAAAAGGCAAGCAACCTCAGACTGAAAACCAGAAGGAACAAAAGGTCCCTGGGTGCCCACCACATGTCAGTGATGTATGTACTTCATCCTATACATACACCTTACCTCTGGGCAGGACTCTGGGCTGCCTGCTGAGAGGAAGAAAGGACAGAGACAGGGAAAACCTCAACACTCAGTAGGATATGAAAGGGAAAAGGATCTTCAGGACAAATTGTGCTTCCTGAGCCAAAGCAGGGAAGAAGGGAGTAGGGGCAGATGGGCAGGAGTTTGGGAGAGGGGAGGTTGACAGTCCTCTTCCTTGGCTTGGACTGTGGGCAGGGGCAAAGAGCCAGGAAATGAGGGCTGCAGAAGGAGACTGGAGCAGACTTCCCACAAACAGGGACTGCTGCCATAACAGGTTCCTAGGAGAATGAGACTTGGGCAGTGGGATGACATCTATGTAGCATACTTCTGAGTGCTTAATGTAAGAGCTGGAGGGATAAACATTCATTCTCAAGGGTCAACAGTCAAGCTGGAAAAATTAAATGCCCACCAATAAGTGGGTTGAGGCCCAGGGAACCCAGGAGAAGGTAAGTAATACAGTAGTATAGAAGGTCTGGCGGGGAAGTAGTAAGTGCAATAGGTGAGATACCCAGGCTCCTTCTTAGTTCACAGGTCCAGGTTTCTACCTGGGCAAATTTATGAGAAACAGCTTGACCAAGGAGCCTTCAGACTGCTACCTTCTAGAGTGGGAGCCTGGGGCCCCAGCTATCCAAGGCCTTGTAGGTACTATGGCAAAGATAAAGCATGAAATTCCAGCCCAGGGCTCCTTTGAGGACCAGTTCCCCAAGCCACCAGAGCCATGTGAACCCCCTCTTTGAGGTCAGCCAGTGAAAGCTGGCCACCTGGATCCATGCCCTATGCTAACACATGGCATGCTGTGGGCGGATCCTGCTGGCCACTGGGTGCTCTGGTCTGGGGCCCCAGTGTGACTTTCTCCCATAGATTACCCACCCACAGAATCCTTTATGTAGCCTTTGGAGTCTGTGCTCCAGAACATTCTGAAAACAAAGTCGGGTTTATATTTGTAAGCATTCCTGGGCTGCTGCCAGCTCAGAGGCAGGAGGCATGAAAAGTCAGGGGCTATGAGCCTTGCTAATTCAGCGTGTTCATGGTCCCGAGACACTAACCGTGGGACACTTCGCCTACACAGCACAGAGAGCCTTCCAGAAGTCCAGGGCCCTGACAGCACTGCCTCTCATGCAGAGAGTGAAAGACTTCACGGTTCACAGGGGCTTCTGGACTTGCCCTGCAAAGCAAAGAGCCCAAGGATGAAGCCAGGTTCTTCTACTCTCCCATTGGGTGGGTTCAGGCAGGCATCCTTCAGCTCACCTAGACAGGTCGCTTACCTGCCTTGTTCCCCTTTCTACTTCTAGTTCCTAGCATGTACCAGGTGCACAGTCCAGCACAACTCGCTTCCTGAGAAGACAAGCAAGGTTGGTAACAGCAATGCATGTATTTAGATTCTCTTTTAACTGCCACCAACCTAGGGAGCAAAATGTCTTGAACACATTTCTCTGTTTATAAGGACTCATCACATACTATTGTTCAGCCCAGGTTAGTCAGTTCTCCTTGGCTTCCAGAAACTGTGATGCCCTTCTTTTTCTCTCCTTCAGAACAGAAAGGAGATAAAGTTCAGCCTCTGGTTTCCTAAATGCGCCTGGTGAAACCTCTTACCTCACACCCTTTTTCTTTCCTCCAGCTCAGCTCACCAGACCACAGGAGAGAGTGGATTGAAAAATGGTCAAGTTTCCTAAAATATCTAAAGTCCTTTGGAGCTGGAGGGGCCACGTCTGGCAAAACCCCCTCAGCCAACTCAGGGTTTCGGGGAAGACCAGAGGTGAAGCCATCAGGGACCATCTCAGTGTCTGTCTCTACTGAGACTGATTTTGTCACCCCAGGGGCCTTTGGCAATGTCTGGGGACATTTTTGATTGTCATGACTATTATGAATCTAATGGGTAGAGGACAGGGATGTTGTTAAACATCCTACAGTACACAGGACAGCATCATAACACAGAATTATCTGACCCAAAATGTCAATAGTTCCAAGGCTGAGACACCCTGGTTTAGACCAAGGACTCTGAAATCTGCAGAAAGACTAGATATAGATGACAACACTTCAAAGAGCTCTGCCCTGTCTATGTCACCACCCCACAGTAACCACAGCTGTATAGTAACCAAGCTATGCACACCTGGGCTGCAGCAGGCACCCTCTGCTTCTTAAGATGGCTAGTTATTGGGCACAGCACACAGTCAGCCTGCAGAGGACAGAGAGAGCAGCTGTTCCCTGGAGACCCTCCTGGTCAAGGACAGTCAAGGGTCAGGCCCTACGCAGCTCAAACATCTTTGAGCACCCTTGAGCATCTTTGGTTTGATGCTCAAACCAAAGAACTTCCCAAAGTGTTTTTTTAAAAGCTTTTGTGCAAAGGAAATCTTACAAGGAAGTTTAATATATAAAAACAGATTAAAAAACAAAAAAGCAAAGGGGCTTTGGATGTGGCCAGGGCAGAGGGCATGGCCCACCCTCCTTCAGGCTCTTGTCCTCTTCTTCCCACTCCCACCCATCCTGCCCTGTGCCTCCAAAGCTGCCTCAAAAGAGCAGCTGAGCTTGGGGAGTAGGGCAGAAAACCTGGTATGTATCTGAGGTTTCTTCTTGCACCAAATTCTTAGGTGTCCAACATGAAGCTAAGAGCTAAAACAAAAAGGATGTTGCTTTGTGTGATGGATTTGGGGATATGGCCTTGAACACATGCACGTTCCATCCCCAGGAGCTCAGTCTCAGGGGCCAGGCACTGCCCTTGGTTCTCTCAGCAGGCAAATGGCACTGTGCGTCTGTCCCCACAGGGGTGGGCTGTTCTGGGGCTGGAAGGTTCTATTCTCATGGTTGTCTCAGGGCAAAGGTCCTGAGAGCTGGCGCTATGAACAGTTGGGACGGAGAATTCTTTGTTGTGGGTGCTGCCCTGAGTTTCTAAGATGGCCCCCAGCACCCTAGTCCCCTGCCAACTACACCCCCAAGTTGTGACAACTAAAAATGTGTGCATACATTACCAGACATCCCTGGGTATAAAATGGACTGGCAGTTCCTAGAATGAAACAGGTATCCAGAAAATGTCTCTTAGACACAAGTCTTACTCAATCTAGGACACTTGCATTCTCTCTCTCTCTCTTTCCCTCCCTACTTCCCTCCTGCCTCCATCATCATCTTCACAGGCAAAGGTTGACCCCCAGGTCTGATGACCATCCTCAGCCCATACGGCCAGCTGTAGGAATTCTGTCGGGGCAAATTTCCTCCAGCTAAAATCCCACTCCAGTAGCAGGGTTCCAAGTCATACCAACTGCCAGGCTGGCTGGCATCACTTCCTTTCCTACTTGCCCACTGCAAGGAAACCCACCATCAGAGAAGTGAGAGGTAGCCTGTCATTAAGGGGAAGGTGTAGGACAGACTCATGCATCACCATTTCTCAGCCTTGTCATCCTGCCTCAGTGTACTCAGCTGTGAAATGGGCGTTGTAACTCTTGCTCCATAAGCAGCAGTGGTGCTTGAGTGAAAGAACGGCAGGCCGATTCCCGCAACTAGCTCAATGAGTCAATGTACATTCTTACGCTGGTTGCCTTGGAGACCCTAAAGCCCTATGAAGACACAGCCTGTGGTTGGCATACTGCTAGTCCCAGAGTAGCCTGACAAGAAAGGGAACACAGGGAAGATACTCATGTCCAATGCATGGCCACCAAGTCTCTCTTCACCAGCAACACCAGTCAATGAGTAACTAGGTTGAAGAAGGTCTGGGCAAAGACCTATCCTGCTCACCAGACCAAGAGAGTAAGCATTAGCAGGAACTAGAGGGTTCCAGGCCAAGCCAAGACCAGGATCTGCCAAGAGAGGGGAAGAATGTGACCTGAGGCCCTATTGGGCAGGGAATAAAGGCATCTCAGGCAATCTGAGGCCACTTGGGAATTGTTAACCAGCCCCTGAGGAGTGGAGGAGACACATAACCTGTGATTCTCAAGCCTGAGTGAGGACACTGACCCGGAAATCTCAGGCATGGGAACCCTGCCACCTCCGGCTTTATAACTTTGAGCAAGCCATTACCTCTCTGTGCCTCATTTGTCTGTCTGTAAAGTATGCACAGTGTCTGTTCTATGAAAATCATAAACTCAGAGCACATGGGAACAAGCAGGAGAGTGCTGCAGAGACCAAAGGGCTAGGCTCTGACCAGATTGGCCCTGCCACAGCTCCTCTCCCTCTCCCAGTCCAAGACCCCGTCCAGCTTCAATCTGTTTAACTGGAGCCATTTCATGGGACACTCTGCTCAACTTTTTGAACAAGCGGTCTTGGGCCCTCTAAAACTCCATGGGGCAAGATTAAAGGGCTGTCTAGCAGAGACCCATCTATAATCTGTTCTGGGATTTTTGGGACCCAGCACTCTAGAAAGATAAGCCTAGGGGGCCAACATGAAGCCGGCATGGCTACATCATAGTAGCAGTCACAGGCCACCTCCAAGACTCTAAACGTGCTCTTGGCTTTGCCTTCTGTGAGCATCCGGGCAACCCAAGAAGAAGGACCAGCAAGGTTGCTACTGAAGTATGGGGAAATTAAGACACAGAGATGTTGCAAGTTAGCAAGCTTCAAGCTCACACAGCTGACATTGCCCTAACTATACACACGGACCTCATTTCTACCCTTTGTCCAGGTTCACAACACTCTGAGGATGGCCACATGTGACTGTGATATTTTTGGTGTGTACAGATCAGAGGGGAGAATCACATTTTTCCATCCATGTCATAGTCACCTGAGCCACCAGAAGTAGCCCAACTTTGGGCAAAATCTACATCTTGTACTTTTCTGTTTTTCTATCATAATACACAAAAGTGTCTGTTTTTAGCTCTCCCCAAAGTGCCTTCCTGATTTGGCAAGTAGCTACTCTGAAAGTGTCCACTCATTGCATTGTTTCATTTGTTCCTCAAAAAAGTCCCTGGGGGAGAGGACTGGCATGCCAGGTTTATAGACAGGCAACCCTAGGCTCCAAAACAAAGGCCCACATGACCTTCCAAAGGCCAGATGTCTGGCTTCTTCCCCACCCAGGGAAGGATGCCAACCTCACTGCTTTGTTGTGGGTGCAGGTGGGGGGGCTTTGGGGATGGCAGACAATAGCCTCCTGGAGTCCTTCAGTGAAACAGAAAGGGAGACCAGAGGGGACTAGGGGCAAGTTTAGCATTGATTGTTATCCTCAGCAACTGGCTCAGATTTGCCCTCTAGGTAACAAGTCTGGTTTCAAAGCCACATGGAAGCCAGTGTTCTTTCCAGCACTCTGGGCTCTTCACAGACAGATCTTTAAAGGGGAGAAGGGATCAATGTAAGCTGCTGCTGTCTGGCACAACAACTCCCAAATACAGCAATCCCCAGAAAGATCCAAAGGGCAGTTCCATTGCTGCAGGGGAAACTGCCTTATGGTATGCCCCATATCCTGCCTTACTGCCCACCAGTCTTCTGTCAGTTCTGTGCCAAAGAGATTCTTAAGTCAAGCTGTGAAGCAGTTCATGGGCTCTCTTGGTGTTTTCTGGATCTTTTTAAAGTCAAGGCTCTGGGGAGATTGAGGTTGGCAGCCACAGTGTTTTTCTTACGTAATCAACCTAACAAACAGAATAGGTGAACTCAATGGACTTTCAAGAAAGTTCCCTAGATGAGAAGGAAGTAGAAAAGATGGTTTTCAAGTCTCAGAGTGATTGAAATCACCAAAAATCGGCATAAATGTCAGGAAAAGTAGACTTCCAGACAGAATTCCTCAAAGGCCTCAGTCCTCAGCAGGGAGCCTGAAATTCTATGAACCTCACCACACTGCTCCATACTGAAAGGGTAAAATTGGATTACTAAGAAAAGGCAAAGCCACCCCGCTCTCAGATCACCAAAGCTCCTGTGTTTCTAGGGTACTGTTTGCAGCTGAAACAGACTTTCCGTGTGTTCAACTGGAGCTCAGAACCAATCGAGAGGTCAGGGAGGACAGTGCTACCAGCCAAAACACAATAGCAGGAAGAAGGAGCGTCAGGAATCTGCCATGGCCCAGCCCTTCTCTGCACCACTGTGATCTTCCCGGAAGTGCTTAGTGGTGACTTGGCAGTGGTTTTGGCAGAGTAATTGGTTTGGCAAAGAGAAGATGACTGTCTGAGGGGACAAACCAAGTAACTGGAAGTCCCAAGGAGGGCATTGGTGGAGTTGGAAGATTTTTCTGTGAATCTGTGCTGCAGGGTTTGTGACAATTTTTTGAAATCACCCAGAGCCAGTGTTGGCCCAGGATAGGGAAATAGATCTTCTTTGTCCCTGAGATAGGATGCTGCTGGCCACACTAATGAGACTTTTAATGCAAATGTCTTACCGCTTCCACCATCCGGAATGGCTCTCAACCTCTGCAGGAGACAACCCATGTGACTTCTCTCATTGACGGAGGGCTCCTTACACCAACATGAATGGAGTGCCCACTAAGTGGTAGGTTCTTATATCTAAGGGGGCAATGGAAAGGCAGAGACAGGAGGACACATGGGACCAGCCACCAGTCAGGAGGGGAAGCCAGAGAAGTGACAGGAAGGAGAGAGTGAAGGTTCCAAGATGAGACATACTCAGAGTGAGCTATCTCTTAAGAATCCTCTTCTCATCCTTATAAGATTGGGCTCCTCAGAGCCTTCTCAATTCTAGGGTGCTGAGCTGGGGGTAGAGATGGGGGAACAGATGGTCTGCACCCCACCTAGTTCTAAGCAGAGCTCTGTGCAGGTTTAAAATATACAGCTGTTTGAAGGCTTCCCAATTGAATTAAGAAGGACCTACAAGATGAAAGATGAGCTCTTGAGCACTCAAGTCCCCAGATTGCTCACGACCCTCGCATTCTACCCTCAGCTGGGGGAGTGCCAGTGCAACTGAAGAGGCCTGGAGATGGCACCAAAGAGGGAAGCGGGTAGGCAGGGCATGGGCAAAACTTCAATAATGTTAAGACAGGAAAGTCAAGATTTCTGGGTCAAAAGACATTGCTGGAGAGTTCGATTCTGAAATGGGTTCCTAGTCTATGGCACCAAAGCAGAGTCCCTACTATTCTCCCCAGGGACCTGAGTTTCTCCTCCATGGTGCCCAATGTAGAACACTCAATTCCACACCAACACCAAGTCATGGCTTCCTATCTACATAGCTTCCTTCTTTGTGGACCTCAGTGTCATCGCCCAACCCCTCTGCACACCCAACTCCAACAACCCTGGCTGGCTCACAGTAAGAGGCCAAGTTCAGGGGCATATCACATGTCACCCAGCTCCATCTCCTCATTTAAGAGAAGGAGCAAGTTAGCAGGGCAGGAAGGCCTCAGACCAGATGTAATCAAGAAGACAGCCTGCAGTGACTCCAGGAAAACCCGCTCAGCCTTAAAAGGCGGCCTAGAGGCACTGGGTAGCCTTAAGGGAAATACTGGAGTGTTTCCCTTTGATCCAAACCCACTCACTTAATCTGGACAGGCAAACCCCTACCCATCCTGTTCTCTGACTTGAGAAGTCAGAAGAATGTCTCCCACCTCAAGACAATCAGGTCACATACTGAAGAACAAGGCCTGCTAGGCAGACAAGGGCTATGTAGTGACACCTATTAATGGCCAGACCTGGGGACACAGGGTGGCCAAGAAGGTATGGCATATGTGGCTGCTCCCTCTCCTCTCTTCTCCCCCAGTCTTCGGGAGTCCAGGGCCTCAGTCAACTGCCTTCATTATACACAGCTGTAAGTTTAGCTTTCTGGAAAACATCAAAAAGCACACCAGGTCCAGTCACAGGCCTGGGCAGGTTTAGAAGAAAGGGCTTTACACATTGATGGCCAAGGAGACAGCCCTACTGTGTTCTTCATGGTTACTGCTGACATAAAATACCTTCACGGTTCTGCCCATGAGCTAGCCGCTGTTCTCAGCTCACAAGGCTTAGCTCACTTAGTATCCATACACCATAATGAGACTGCATCTGTCATTATCGCTTTACTAAAGAGGAAACTGAGGCACGGAGGTCCTGACTGCCTCTTTGCATTTTCCATTCTGACCTGCTTTCTCCTTGCTCCCCAACAAAAACACAAAAACTGAAGTCAGACTCTCCCACTTTTAGCAATGTGGGACCTGTTTCCTTGTCCACCCAGTATAACTGATACAGCCAGGCAGTGTTCTTGCAAGGCACAAAGGGATGCAAGACACAGTAGTTGCGTTAGAGAGAGAGGACCCCTCCCTCTGGCCTGTGTCTAGCCCTGCTTCCTGCTGGACCCATAGGTACCCAGTCATCATGCTGGCTTTTCTGCAGAGCCACAAGGCGTGGATGGATTTCCTGGAGTTGGGTGTCAAGGCAGAACAGCAGCTTTGGGCCATCAGAAAAATACAATGCCTTCTTTCTGGCCTGCTGGGGCAAGTGCAGTTCAGCAGGTTTCCATGCCTCAGGGGCCCTAGCTCTGTTCAGATCTGCCATTCATTCTGAAGGGGCAGCCAACCCAGTAAAGCCATGGTGGGTAGGGGAAAGGGCAGAGGGGGAAGGACTGTGACCTTTGTCCCTTTCTCACTAAATTGATTTTGCTCATCTTTAAACACCTGCTCTACATTTAGAAAAACTACCCAGGTTCTGCCTCTTCTGACTCAAAGTGGCCTCACCAAAAACTTAGCAAAGATGCAAACTTATGTTTGCCTTCCAGAAGAGACAGGCAAAGATCAAGATCAGTCCCAACCAGGACACACTTGGACAGGGCACTAGAGCATGAGTCCTGGTTCCCACTCACCTTGGCACCTGCCTCCCTGTCTCTGATTTCAGTTCTTATTTGTAAAGTGAGAAGAGGTTGGACCGGGTCCCGTGTGAGTTTTTATTCCATTCCAAATGATGCAACCAGTGGCCAGACTCCTGGGTTTGCTTGCCATTGGGAAAGAACTCACCAGGTGAGGAGACCCTGTAACAGGATTCCAGAACCAAATCCAACCCCTCCATCCATAGAGTCAGCTGCCTCCTTGGGATCTACCTCAGGATCAAAGAGGAGCAGGGTAGGAGGCAGAGGACTGTTCAAGTCGCTCCATGCATGTCTGAACCCCTCCTACAGGCTCGGCCCTGGGCCAGGTGCCAGGCTTCAGATAGAGCAAGCAAAGTCCTTCTCCTTCCCCCGGCACAGCTTACCCTCCAGTCACAGTCAAGGTCCCATGAAATTAAGAAGGCACAGGTCAGGGACATCACCCCCTGGTGTCTCTGTTTACCCCACAGCCCTATTCCCTGGATGTTTGCCAACTCTTTCAGCAAACTTTTCCTCCCTTGACTCAACCTAGTGCAGTGATCGGGCTTGGAACTGGCTGAACCACTGCCCACACCAGCTGTGACCTGTGCCTGCCCTGCTATTGTCCCAGCTAGCAGTTGGCAAACCACTCAAAGGCAGGCATGAAGGTTTCCCCTCTCTGCACCTTTTTTTTTGTCCTTGAAACTCATTTTCACGGCAAGAACAGGGCTTTTATTTGGATACCATGTTCATTAGGGGTGGTGTGGGAGACCGTGCAGCATGGCTAGTTGGCATTAAAAGGATGTTTACACTCCTCCCAGTGGTCAGCCTCTGCCTCTTCCATCTTCCCCAGTAGCTGAAAGGAACCAAAGTTGCTGAAGTGCCCAGGACAGCTGGTGAAGAAGGGCGCAGATAAAGGGTGGTGGCCTTCCTCCCCCACTGGCTGCGCTGACAGGCACCTCCCACGATCAAGCCAGAGGGGTGGCTCTGGGGCCCCACCAGACAGCTGATAACGAAGCGACAGACGGGAGAGTAGGGGAGGTGGCGGTGTAAAGAAGGGATCCACAAATCCCAGCTTCAGCTATTAATGTGATGGAGGCGGTGACAGCGTGTTTCCCCTGGAGCCCGCTGCATTCCACACACTCTGACCCAACCTCCTCCCAGAAGCTGAATCAGAGACCGCGGCGGATCTCCCGGGAACGTCCGAGCAGTTCCAGCTGTTCTCCCCGCTGGACTGCTGGAGACGCCGGCCCGGGGACCAGGGAGCCAAGGAAAGCAGGGGAGGGTGGGCGGATGCGAAAATGACGCCACTCCTAGCTCCAGCCAGCACTGGGGCCCGCCCGATGTCAGTGAGACCCTGCTCAACCGACCCACCTCTCCCGCGCCGCCACAGCGCCAACCCCGGGCCACCTCGGGAGCCGCACCCCGCTCAGCGGCGTTCGCTGACACTCGCTGCCGCGCGTGCTGCACGCACTGTGACACACCCCGTCCTCTCCCCTAGCACACACACACTCGCCTCTCGCACGCACGCCACCGGACTCCGGAGCTGGACGGCCATCCGGCCTCCGATCCACACCCGTTCCCTGGCCAGTAGGACACCAGACACACCCACACCCTCCCCCCTTTCCAGCCTCACCAGCGTCTCTTATCCTCACCCACCCCATCGACATCGCTTCCTCCTCAGACACCCTAACACACTCTCACATCCACCCACCTACTCACACACACCTTTGTCCCTCATGCGCCCCTGGCCAGCGGTGCCAGCTGTGACTCTGGGAGGGCGCCAGGAAGCGAGATTCAGGTGTTCCTGGGTTGGCTCGCCGCCTCCTTTCCGACCGTCTGAACCCCACTATCTTAGGTAGGGGGAAAGTTAATGGGGACCTGCCTTTTTTTCCTCCTTTTCTCTAATCGAACCCTCCAATTTTGAGATGCCGGCGCCCAGATGCTGCCTCCCCGTGCCAACGCCACCAGGTCGCCCCGCACTTGCAGCTCCCGGGGGTCCTGAAGTCCGCGGGACCACAAAGGGCGGACCAGGCGCTCCAGCAGCACCCCATGGACAACCCCTCTCTATTACTCCTAGTGTCGGGAAGAAGAGGGCATCGGGCGGACTTACCTAAAGCAGAGGGAGAAGGGACAGGCGTCTGCGGCTAGTGTGGCGGCGCGGCGCCCAGTGGGAGCCTAGGAGATGGAGAGGACAGAGAGCAACAAGGATCGTCTTGTGCTGCGGAGCGCGAGCTGGTGGCCAGGCGAGGTTTGTTTATGTGCGTACCCAGGGCCATTTTATAGGCGCCGCGGCCCCGCCTCCAAAGCCTTGTCCCTCCCGGATCCGCGGCGCCCCGCACGCAACGAGGACACACCCCTTCCCCGCTCCCCCTCCCGCCCCGGCTGGCTGCGCTGGAGCTGCGCGCCGGGTCCCGCTGGAGCCGCCGCCCGCCTGTTGCGCAAACCTCTGTAGGGGCGCGGCGGGGTGGGGCCTCCGGCCCAGGGCTGTGGTTTGGCTCTGCGGTTCCCTCCAGCTAACGGGGGCAGGGGCCTCCGAGTGCGCAGCAGGCATGTGTGCACAGGGGCCGGGAGGAGGACTAGTTGTATGTGTTCATGTATGTGCGCTCCCGTGCGTGTGCATGTGGACTTCCTTGTGCCTCTGAGTGGCCGCGTGGTCCTGTCTTTCCCTTTGAGTTTCTCCTAAGAATGTGCTCCACACCCTGACAATCTTTCTGAGCGACTTCCTCCAGGTCTCAGCGTCTTCCCTCCTGAGCCTCATTCAGCCGCCTCCTTTGCTTCCTTCAGACTCTCACTCCAGATCCCTTCCTTGTCGCTTCAGCTCTCCATCTTGCTCTCCCGCATCCCTGACGCCGCGCACTAACCGCTGGCAGTTCCGAGCGCATATGCCCGTCCTGCGCGGCCTTCCCTTGCCCCACAGCTCTGGCCAGGAGTTAGCATTCTCTCCCCTGCCTTCCAGGTCTCCAGAGCTTGCATGGCGCTCGCTTCCCAACCTGCTGGCAGTGCTTTTGTGTAACTGCTGCCAGCCTGCTCGTTCTCATCCGACCAAAGAAAGCAGCATTTCTCAGCTCTGACTGTACCTGAGACTCTCCAGCCACGCTTTGCTTTAAAAGGCAGATACCAAGGCTCCGCCCTAGTCTGGCATAATCAAAATCTTGGGAGTGTAGACGGGCCTTGGTGTTTTTAAAAAGCAATCTGGGTTGGTTCCACTGAAAAGCCACATTGAGAACCACAGCACTGCAGAAAGCTCATTTTATGAATAAAGAGAGTGTGACTCACAGTTGAGCCCAGTCATTGTCCAAAGCCACCTGCCCAGCCCTGAATTTGCCACTGCTCCCAGAGCCAGCTTAAGTGTCCTCCCCTCCCGCTCCTACTGAACTGTGAACATCTTTCCTTCTCCAGTCCAAAGCCGCAGGCCTGGCTCTTTCTCTTTGAAACTGTTTGCCTCCACAGGCCCTGGCCCTTATTCTGTCATTCCATGAGCATTTATTGAGCTGCAGCTGTGAGCCTGGCCTGTGCTTAGCCACTGGGAGCACACAACAGAGGCCCAAGAGTCAGTTTCCCCACCCACACAAGATGGCTATAAGTGAGCTCATTCATTCCCTGGTTATATTGAGGAGCTGCTATGTGCAGGCCTCATTCTAGACCCTGGAGAATGGGAATGAACAATAGTTGGTATCCTTGGGAGCCATCCTTGTCATCTAAAGACCCCATCTCCCCCCACCCTCAGATCTAGCAATCTGTTCTCCCACTCCATACATCCCTTTCCCCTACCCTCACCTGTTTGGACTTTCACCAAACATTTATTGAGTACCTATGGTTGCTGTATGTCGAAAATACAGATTGTTAAGTTCAGAAGTATGGGGGAGGATGCCCATTTCTTCACCAACAAGTGGAGCTCCAGTGTGTGTATTAAAGAAGGTGTTTTGCCAAAATAGGTCACCAGTTTCCATCCCCTTGAGGAAGTCTTCCTCCAGGGCAGGCACACAGCAGCCTAGACCTGCAGCTGAGGCCCAAGTATGGTGCCAGCTCAGGGACTGAGTTTGGGCTCAGGAAGCTCAGCCTTCTAGGTAACCCTTGGCATTGAGTGAGTCAGGAATCAAGGCAAGGAGAGTAGACAGAGAAGAGCAGAGACAGGAAGGAGGAAGATGAATGGTAGCATAGAATTTCCCAGAGCAGATCAAAATCATCTGGGGAAAGTGAGGAGGGATCCATACTTCTTCTGAGCAGGCCAGTGCAGCCGAGGTCACCCTCCCTATGACCATGAAGTGTTCTTCCACTGAACACCAAATGAAGTAGTGTCCCTGCCTGACTAAGGTGGCCATGCTGTAGGAAGGAGACTAACTTAGTATAACCCCGAATGGACACCCAGAATGGGGATATTGTCCTTCTGGAGGGGTCACCCAGGGAGCTGAGCCCTGCCCGGCCATTCACATCCCTGGCCAGCTGAGGCAGCAGAAGCTATCAGAGTTGAATGTCTGCCTAACTCCATTGAACTGTTTAAATTATTTCTCTTTCTTGCTGGTCAGCAACAAAATTAGATTTGCTTAGTAAATGCACATAGGCTGCAAATCTATCACAGAGGGAGATTAGATTTTCTGGACTAATGTCCACTGGAAATTTCTATTTACCAACACCTTAGATTTTTAAGTGACCATAGGAATCATCTATTCTCAACCCTGTTTCTTATATTCTGGGGTACATTGAATTAGGAGAGGCCCCAGAGACAACTCCTGGGATTCATGGGAAAGAGCACAGAGGTCTGTGGCCCTCCCCAAACCAGATTTCATCTCTTGCAAGCTGTGGTGCCATGGAAAACCTGCCACACTTCTCTGTGCATGAAGGAAATGCATGAGAGAAACCATCAGGACTTTCCACCAAACTTTGTGAGCCAACTGACACAATCTTATAATCTTTTTCCCTCCTGGATAAATGAGAAACTTGTCCCTGAAAAGCTGTACCTCTCCAGCTCTAGTATGGAGCTTGCTTGGGATCCCCTCTCTCTTCCAGCATCCATTTCTCCCTCTCTTCTAAAAAATTCTGGTCAGCGTGTAAACATTCATTAAAATGAATAACCTATCCTAAACCTGTCCTCTCTGGACCCTAAGTCCCCTCCAGTTATTGTGGCCCAATCCCTCTCACCCTTTCTTCTCCCAACTTCTTAAAACTGATGTCTGTACACCAACCCCACTTCCCCTTCCCTTTCCTTTGAGTGTGTAATTTGGCAAGTTCCTCTAGGACCTGGTTGAATAATGCTATAAAACCCGTTAGGAAAAACGACAGCCTTCAACCCCTCACTTTCCCAAGTCCCTTCCCAGAAGCTACCACTGACTTCTTTTTGAGAATCATTTGTACCTTTCCTCTGCTACGCTCAGGCTTTGTACTCCTGGGTGAGTTATTTTCTGCCGTAGCCTCTTCATACACGTAACACTGGAGTTAATTTGTAGGGTTATTGTGAGAAATGGATGTGTTAATACATATAAAATCCTTGAACGTGCAGCCCATCGGAAGTTCTTGATTTCCAAGTGTCAGACACTGCCTGGGCTACCATCAGCAGCAGCGGTTGCATCTCCTGCCTGGTAACTTGCACATCTCCACAGGCATAAAGACCTCCAGTCAACATGGGTAGAAGTGTGTAGATGCAAACGTTCCTCTGTGACTTCTCCCTCCTATGTCCAGTCTCACTGCTTGGACTGTTGGGCAGGGGACAGGGTCCTTCTACTTGCTTCATGATCCCAAATGCACTTTCAGATCTGCACCTATAAATCTCTACCAATTCAAATTACCCCAGCTCTCAGAGACAGCTATGAGCCAAGGGAAAAGCTATGAAAGGAAACCAGCTCCAAATGAGGTGAGATTCTAGGCTATATTCAAGATCTGAAATAAATCCTTTGAGCATAAATGAAGAGGGAACAATGTTTGGTCATAGAAAAGCAATGTCTGCTCCCTCTGGTTCATAAAAGCTTCCTAGGATAGCCTGATAAAATCCCACAAACTGGAGTCTTAAAACCTCAGAGATTTTCTCTCACGGTTCCAGAGCCAAAAGTCCAAAGTCAAGGTGTGGGAAGGCCCTGCTTTTGCTGAAGGCTCCAGGGACAACTCTGTCCTGGCCTCATGTAGTTTCTGGTGTTGCTGGCAATCCTTGATGTCCCTGGCTAGTAGATGTGTCACTCCAGACTCTGCATCGTCATCATATGTCCTTCTCTCGTGAATGTGTGTCCTTCTTCCTGTAAGTCTTCTCCCAATATGACTTCATCTTAGCCTATTACATCTATAAAAATCTATTTCCAGATGCAGTATGTTTTGAAGCTCTGATTGGATATGCATTTGAGGTTGGGAGTTTATTCGGTCCAGGGCAAGGTCAATAGGTACTTAGCAAATACCTGCCATGCACTTGCAGGGAAGTCTGCTCAGGGGGTGCTATGGGAGCCCGGATGACGTCCCTTTTCTGTGACACGCAGTAGCTTTGGCCCAGCTTCCCAACAGCCCTCCACCACTGGGCTCTGGCTCTGCAGCTCACTGCATCCTATGCTTGGCTGTCGCCTTAAACAAGTCAAGTCAAAGGTCCTGTCTTGTTAAAATTTTCCTGGCTCCTGCTGCCTGCCAAAGCCACCACACCCTTCATGGTGTGCCAGTGGGGACCTTCCCAAGGACTCCAGGCCTTTCTTTTCCACCCGTCTTCTCCTCTGTCCATCGAATTACTCACCACTTTCTCTGAAAACACTCCTGTCAACTCCACCCTGACCCATTCACCATGTGTTTCCTCCTCTTAGAAAGCTTGCCCATACCCTTTCCCCAGGGGAGGTCACTCATCCATCCACTCACCTGGGAAACATCTAAGGGCTGTTTGCCACACATCTCTGTTTCCCATTTCCTTCTCTCCATCTTACAAGTCAAGCATGTGGGTGTGAATTGTGGTGTCAATAAGAGGTGAGTGAAAGTAAACTGTGTCACTCGTCACTCGGGAATGGACTTCCATGGCTGATGTGTGTTTATCAAGCTCTCCTTACTGCTGCCACCACAGCCAGCAATGCTCCAGATGACAGAGGCTCCATCCCAGGGACCTGCAGGGAGGAAACAGAGAAGAGCCTCAGCTGACCCAAATTAGACAAGGCGTGTGGGGAATGTGGTAGTCTGAATGTTGGTGTCCCCCACATTCACATGGCTAATCTGATCACCCATGTGATGGTGTGAGGAGGTGAGGTCTGCAAGAGGTGATTAGGTGATTAGGAATGGGATTAGTGCC